AAAGCAGGTGGAATTATAATTGCTCAGAGTTGAAATTGTAGTATCTATATATAGTCAGTTTCATTCTAGTAACCTCTGTCCATCATTGAGTTGTTTTGCAGGCTGATGTTCTCACACATAGATTCAAGCTTCCAAATTGTGTTTATTATTTTCCAAACTAGGCACTTTTTTGTTTTTGTTTTTGTTTTTGTTTTTTTTTTGAGACAAGATTTCTCTGGGTAGCCCTATTGAGTTCCAGGACAGCCTCCAAAGCTACAGAGAAACCCTGTCTTGAAAAACCAAAATAATAATAATAATGATGATGATATGTCTGTGTGTGTAGCACAGTGAGCTTGTGAGTGCTCTGCTCGAGGAGGCCAGAGGATGTTGGATTTCCTGGAGTTGAAGTAAAGGAGATGTAAGCTACCTGATGTGGGTGCTGAGAACTGAACTCAGGATGTTTGCATGAGCAGTACATGCTCTTCACTGCTAAGCTATCTCTACAGCTTCCTCTAAAATGTATTTATTTGAGACAGGATCTTATTATGCATATAGGCTAGCTTTGAACATGGGATCCTCCTGCCTCAGCCTCCCAAATGCTGGGATTTCAGTTACACATCACCAAATTAAGCTGCTTCAAAATATTATTTTTTTCAGCTTTCATTAGATAACTTTTATGGATAACCATGGTGTACTATGAGTTTTTAAAACCTTTGGAGGTATGTTAGAACACAGGCTTTACTGCACAAAAGTCATCTAGCTATAGCTTCAGAGGCTCCTAGAAACAGCTTTTTGTGGTTCCACATTAAAATACCCTCCATTTATAGTCAGGTGTGGTAGCTCATTCTTTTAATCCCAGCACTCAGGAGGCAGAAGCAGATGGATCTCTGAATTGGAGGCAAATGTGGTCTATAGAATGAGTTCCAGGACAGCTAGGACTATTTTCATTAATTGTTGTACCTACTTGAGTTTCCAAAATTTTACACATTATACAAACAGTTACTTCATTGACTAATTCACACAGACATCCCCTAATCTATTAAAAGTCCTTGACTAGACTGTAGCAGAAGAATATTATTTACCTTCTCTTGAGATAGTCATTACTGCCTGAGGGATAAAAAGCAGTTGCAGTTCTAAGTAAAAGTAAGTAAAATCTTGGGTTTGGGCTGGTGTCAGTGATGGCTCTGAGGGAAAAGGCACTTACTGCTAAGCTAAGACCTTGAGTTCAATCTGTAGGACCTACCGAGTGAAAAGAAAACCAACTCCCACAGCTTGTCCTCTGACCTCCATGCACACACTCGAGACGGCGCGCGCGCGCGAACACACACACACACACACACACACACACACACACACACACACACACACACACACACACACAGACAAACTCAACTAAATGCAGTTAAAGGAAAAAAAACTTGTTTATTAGAGGGATTAAAATTTTGGCTTTTGAGAATATAAGCAAGCAAAGTCAGGGCTGAAAACAGTTATACAATATCATAGTGCTAAAGACAGACCAATAAATACTATGTTAACCAGGTACCATCAACAGACATTGTTAGGGCATCATTACATAGTTGATTGTTGTGTGAATGTGTGTGGTGTATATGTGTATGAAGGCCAGAGGTTGATTTTGGGTGTCTTTGTCATTTACTTTCCACCTTATTTTTTGAGATAGTTTTTTACTGGTTGGTTAGTGGGCTCCAGGAATCCACCAGTGCCCCCAGTTACCCACGTATTAAGAGTTACAGGCACATACCTGGCTTTGACATAGGTGCTGGTAATTTCAAATCAGGTTTTTAACACATTAAACACTTTACCCAGAAGCCATATTCCCTTCTCCTTTTGATTATTTTAATTCCACTATGCCACAAAAGTCTAGTATTTCATTGCCTTAATTTCATATCAAATTATTATAAAGTATCCCTAGGCTAAGCCTGGTGTAGTGGCTCACACCTTTAATCCCAGCACTTGGGTGGCAGAGGCAGTTTGAGGCCAGCCAGGTCTAGAGAGTAAGTTCTAGGACAACCAGAGCTACATAGTGAAACCCTGTCTCTTAAAAAAAGAAATAAGTGACCTTGGCCTAGTAGTTTACATATATTAGAAAGTTTTGGTGGTGATTTTAAGGCTGAAAAGTATTCCATCATTAATAATACTGTTATTGATAAGCACAATTTAATTTCATTTAATTTTTATATTTTTATGTTTTCCAACATTTCCTTGGTCTTTCAAGTGGTGAAAAGAGTAGTTTTTCTAAAAGTAAATTTGTCAGACTCCCTTGAGTTTCTTCAGAGTATCCCTCACCCACGAGAGTCAGAGCATGGAGGAGTAAGCTATTCTCACTTGCAATCCTGGCAGCCTGCTTAATAAGGTTGACCTGTTGAGAGTCAGCTTGGTGGCAGCCAGCCCTTGGGAGCTGTAGTCTGTGACATAATTTAGGGTTTCATTTGAAACCTTCCCTTTTCTGTCATTATGTCTTACTGTATAAAGTAACAGAAGTTACATACAACTTAGAGTTATGGGAAATGATAACTTTCTTTGAGATTCATTCTCAATATCTTTAAGTTTTATGTTTTCCAGGTAGCTAGATTTTTAGTGGTTGATCTTGTCTTGTTTGGTCCTGCCTAGAAAGTATTCCTTTGTTGGTTACAGCATACCAGTTCCCCCTAATGGCTTTTAAATTTGCCCTGCTTTTGACTGGTTAAGGATTTTGCATGTGATTGAATTTAGGTTTACTGGATATATTGCAAAAATAAGATAATGGGAATAAGCTTGGTGGTGGTGGCTCACCCCTTTAATCCCAGCACTCAGGAGGCAGAGGCAGGCAGATGTCTTTGAGTTCAGGACAGCCTGGTCTACAGAGTGAGTTCCAGGACAACCAGGGCTATCTCCCCCCCCCCCCCCCCCGAAAAAAAAAAGTAATGGGGATAAAATAATAGTAAAATGTTTTTTACTAATGGATCAAATAAGAGTAAAACAAACATGGCAGACTTGATGGTATTGACAGTGTTTTCTCTCATTAATAGTGTGAGTAAGAAAATATATTAGGGATTCTCCGCACTATTCTCAGGTTGGTAATTTGCTGGGAGAACATACAGACCTGACTCTGTGTGATGATTATTTTTACAATTCCCCATGCCTTATTACAACAGAGAGATGGAAAGCAGAATCAGCAAAAGTACAAGGTGCATGGGCACAAGCCACATCTAATTCTCCAAGAAATTGTGACAATGCAAGGAAAGTGCTCCTAACTAGGGAAGCTTGTTAGAGGCTACATTCAGGGCTTGGTGACTGTCACACAAATACCCCATGCCTGCCATATGTACATGTAGTCGCAGACCCTGAGACTGGAGGCAGGTGCTGAGCATAACCATTTGTTTGCACATGCAGTTGAGGCACAGTGAGCCTTTCTTCTCAGTTGATGGGAGGAGCTCTTCAGAAATCTAGCTTTCTGTAAATTCCCAAGTGCCAGCCAAGGCCAGCCCTGTAAGCAGGCCTTTAGCAGAGAAGTCGCAATGCTTTCCTTATAGAGAGAAAGATTAGCTCTCCTTGCTTGTGATAATTCACTTGAACTTCTGGGTTTTTTTGTTTTTAATCTTCTAGGAGCACCCTTCCCCCTTAAAAAAAAAAAAAACCAAACAACTTCTATAATATACTTAAGTGACCTTTTTCTCTTTTGTTATTTTGGTTTTTTTGAGATAGAGTATCCCTATGTAAGCTTGGTTGGCCTGGAGCTGATTTTGTAGACTAGACTGGCCTGGAACTCTAAGAGATCAACCTGTTTGCCTTCAGATTGCTAGGATTAAAAAGGTGTGCACCACCACACCCAGCTTGTGAGTTTTCTTTTATTGCCTTGTTGCATGTTATGTGGATATTACAATTTAGAAAAAAATTTTTGTATTATTTTATTTTGTGTGTATGAGTATTTTGCCTGCATACCTGTATGTACTCAAGAGAGTGTTGGTTCTTCTGGAATTGGAATTGTAAGATAGTTGAGAATTGCTATGTGGGTCCTGAGGACAGAACATAGGTCTTCTGTAAGAGCCAAGAAGTGCTTTTAACTATTTAGCCATCCCTCTAGCCCCAGTTGTTACACTTTTCTATGATTTACCAGACCACTTGAACTTGTCCATTCCACCATTTCGTGCTACCTACCGAATACTACATGGCTCAAGAAACCAAATGGGAATTCTGTTGCTGAGAACCAATTTAGGACCTTGAGCTAACCTGGAGACCCACTGTTCCTTGGTGTGTGTGGTGTGTTAGAGAGCTTGTTAAAACAGTAGTTGATAGTTCTTTACTTTAGGGCATGGATTAGAGCTGAAATTTTATACTTTTAAAGATTAATTATTTATGTCTGCATGTTCCTCTGCTCACCAGAGGACATTGGGTCCCATTATAGAGAGTTGTGAGCCACCATGTGATTACTGGGAACTGATCTCAGAACCTCTGGATGAGCAAGCAGCCAGTGCTCTTAACCTCTGAGCCTTCTCTCCAGCCCCTGAATTTATACTTCTAACAAATTTCTAGGTAATGCTGATGCTGTTGGTCTGGAGAGCCCACTATGGGAACCACTTTGTGATCTAGAATTACATACTCACATTAATAAGTTACACATTCTATGAGATCCTGGAACACAGGAATACCTAATTCAGTATTTTGAAAGTGAACAAGCAGTTACACCACCATTAACTCCTGTGTATTGTGTAAAATGTTTTTCCTTTAGATGGATATGGTTATAGGATGCTTGTATAGACTAGCCCAAGAAATACTAGAAAATAAATTAATTCATATTTTAAAAGCTAAAAGCAGCTTTACTGGGATAATGACAGTGACTGTAATATGGACTTAGCAAGTAGGTTGGAGAAATAAAGAAAGCATCTGAATTCCTGGATGATGTTTGCCAGCTCTTCATCTCCATTTACATGCTTCTTGTTCTTTCTCTGAACCTGGGAGAAATCAGCAGCCACCTGTGTTCTTAGTGATGATTCCTCCCCACCCATTGATTGGAAACCATGATGTTCTATAAGACAATCCCTCCTGGACCAAAGTTTTGTCTTTTGCCTTAGTCAGTTCCAGTGAGTTCATCTCTAGGACTTGAAAAGAAAGCAAGACACATGGATGATTCTTTACTGGGAAAGGAGTATTTAATCAAGCTTATTTCTGAATCTATTTTTAAAAAGTTATGTATTGTTGTGTGTGCTGGGTGATTCCTCAGGTCTCCTGGAACTTGTTATTACAGAATTTTTTTTCTCTCAAGCCCCCCCCCCCTTTTTTTTTAATGGTTGTCAAGGCACATCTTAGAAATTTTCAGGGCTTCTTTGGCTTTCTCTCCAACCAGGCATGCCCATGGAAGTGACATCGCAGGAATACTTTTATTTCTTAGGGGCATAAAGTCTTAGGGAGGAGGAAGAATTTTAACTGGTGGCTAGACCATGAGGAGGCAGGTTTGATAAGGAAATTCTGAAAATAATTCTTTTTGTTTGTTCAAGACAGGTTTTCTGTCTGGCCCTGACTGTCCTGGAACTCTCTCTGTAGATCATGCTGGCCTTTAACTCAGAACTCAAGAGATCTATCTGCCTCTGCCTCTGCCTCTCTGCCTCTCTGCCTCTCTGCCTCTCTCTGCCTCTCTCTGCCTCCCTCTGCCTCTCTGCCTCTCTGCCTCTCTGCCTCTCTGCCTCTCTCGGCCTCTCTCGGCCTCTCTCGGCCTCTCTTGGCCTCTCTCGGGGTGCCCCTGCCCCTGCCCCTGCCCCTGCCCCTGCCTCTGCCTCTGCCTCTTGAGTGCTGGGATTAAAAGTGTGCATTACCGTCCAGCTATTTGTTGTTGTTGTTTTTTATTTTGGTTTTGTTTAGTTTTTCAAGACAGGGTTTCTCTTATAGACCAGGATGGCCCTCACCGAGGCCTGTCTACCTAGTGCTGGCATTAAAGGCATGTGCCATCATGCTCCTGAAAATATTTTTATTCACATGTGATCAAATAAGCCACCTGGTAACTCATTGGTATAAGCTTTTTTCTTTGATTCTGGAGCTAGAACCCTGGATCTTGCCCATGTTCATCAGTAAATCAGCTTACTCTAGGTCTATTGCTGAACAGTAATGTTAATTGTCCTGTTAAAATACCTTAAGATGAGTGTTTATTCTTCATAGTAGTGGGAATAGGTAAGATGGAGTGTGCTGAAATGATGTTGCAAGCTTAGGCATGTAGCATGACCCTCAGTGTTTGCCATTTCTGCTGATGTCTTGGTGTGCAGTGGGGACGAGTACTCAGTTGCCAACATTTGACATTGGTTTGGACATAACAGTGACTTCTGGTGACTCAGCATCAGTGTGATTTAGTGGTAAGACAGGTTGGTCTATCTGGAGAGTGAAAGATAAATTGTAAAAGCCAATGGTAGGACAACCAGGAGCAAATCTAAAACAGAGAGTGTGGATAAGCATCAAGCATTACAGCTCTGCTTCCATTGTTTGTTTTTGTTTGTTTGTTTTTTCCAGATAGGCTTTCTTTGTGATCCAGTCCTGGCTGTCCTAGAACTTGCTCTGTAGACCAGGCTGGTCTCGAACTCACTGAGATTTGCCTGCCTCTGCCTCCTGAGTGCTGGGATTAAAGGTGTATACCACTTCTGCCTGGCACTGTCACTACCATCAGTGACCATCATTTGCTGTAGACCCATAACGTAACATGAAATAGAGATTCTTTTTGATGGATGTGCAACTCTGTTTTAGCCATAGAGTATAAAATAGATTGAGCCTGCACAGAAAACAAAGATAGTGTATTTCTTTTTAGTCTTCACAATTAGTCTTCTTGCAAGTATCTAGCTTGGTGTTATAGTGAGCCTCAAATACTATGGTTTCCAGTACTTAGGTAAGTTATTTAGTATTCTGTTCACTAGAAAAAAAAGAGTAGTTAGTGATTTGATAGACTAAGAGCTTATTTAATTTCTTGAATAAAATTGAAACTCTGTTTTTAGTTGAATTTTGGTATTTTAAAGTTGCTATTTTCCTCTGAAGGGTTTGGCAACCTCTTTATGACCCTTATTTGACCATTTAGACCAGCTAGTAGAAATTTTAAAATGCATAGTTTTTCTTGGCACCTATTCAGGAGTGCTGTAGTCCTAATTTTGTTGGTGAATTGTCTATTTACTCATGAACTTAGTTGGTATCAGTGTGACACTTAACTGTTCTTGCATCATTCCTGTATGTGACTTAGCAGAAGGGTTAGCCAGTGTTTTTCTCATACATGGCATTTTACCCTTTCTGGAAGGATGGAGACACGGAGAATCAGGATGTCAGGTAATAAGATTGGGCCATAAGCCAAGGCATTTCACAGTTATATCCTCATTCTTCCACATCCTGTTATCTCTGTACAGCCATATCAAACTGGACTTCTCAGAGATTTTCTCCAGCCTAGCCTGCAGATTCTCTATGAAAATTATTTTATTAGCACACTGTATTCCAAAGATACAGAAGGTAAATACTTAGGTTGGGTGTGGTGGTGAATGCCTGTGATTGCCTACATTGCTAGTTTGAAGCAAACTTGGAGTATACAGTCCTTGTCCTTAAAAAAATAAAAAGGAAGGCATATACATTTTTTAGTTGTTTTAAGTTCCTGCTATTTCAGTTGACAAAGCTAAAAAGATGTAACATAAACGTGTTCCAGGTTATCTCTGTATCTAGATAACCAAGTTATCTTTTTGGTTTTTGCAGTTGTATTTTATGTTTTACAGTCAGCTTTGGCAATACTCACATGTTATGAGTTTGATGAAACAACAGAGATAAGATTAGTAGTAAATGACCTGCTCTTGTGTGGTGATGCAACACTGTGGCAAAGGCTCTGCAGCCTTTTGAATGGAAGCAATAGTATGAGGCTAGACTATGTATGACACTGTTTAGTATTAAAAGCAATCTAGTCTGAAGTTCCCTGTGTCATGTTTTTATTATGAGTGTGAAGTTTTAACAAAATATCTTCCATCATGTTAAATATATACTATTTGAATTTCTTATATATTGGTAGTTTGAAATTTAGTTCTGCAGACCTTTTCACTTTATATTGCATAGTCCCTGTAAGCATACAGAATCGTCAAGCTGGGCGGGTGAGATGGCTCAGTAAATAAAGGTACTTGCTGCTAAGCCTGATGACTTGAATTTGATTCCTAAAATCCACAGTGGAAGGGGAAAACCGGTTTCAGTAAGCTGTCCTTTAGCTTCCACACATAGACACACAAAATGTAAAATTTTAGAGAACCTTCATGCCTCAGGTGTGCATATTCTGTAATTTAACGTTTCTGAAATTAGGGTGCATTAAGTATGTCATGGCTAATGGGCAGCTTTTCTCCCCTTAGTGTTAAGTGTGTCTTACAATCAGTAGTGACTTAAGCAACATGAAATATGGTAGCTTTATCCTTATATGAATTCAATTATATAAAAACAATTTGTTGTCACTTTAAGGGAGAGAAGGGCAGTTTTAAAGACAAAACACTATTTAAAATTATTAATTTAATGTTGTGTATATGGGTATTTTGGCCTCACCTGTGTCTGTGTACCATGTGTATATGATGCTAGAAGAGGGATTCCCTGTGTGTTCTGGGAACCAAATTTGGATCTTCTGGAAGAGTAGCCCTTGCTCTTAACTGTAAGTTGTCTCTTCAGCCTGAGAAGGGCATGACAGAAAAAGTTTAATAACAAAATTCTTTTAGGCGACTGAGGCAGGAAGACCTCATCTTTGAGACTCATTCTCAAAAACAAAAGCAAATCAAGAAAAAAGTATTAAGAGATGTGTCAGACGTTAAGAGCACTGGCTGCTCTTCCAGAGGTCCTGAGTTCAATTCCCAGCAACCACATGGTGGCTCACAACCACCTGTAATGAGATCTGGTGCCTGCAGGCAGATACAATAATAATAAAGAAATAAATCTTCTAAAAAATTAGTATTGATCCCCTTTTCTACCATATAGCATCTGTTCTGATTGCAAGACCTGTGGGTAAATGGAATTGTCAGGAAGTTGGACAGAAATGTCCAGAGAACATTTCTACTTTGTTGTATTTGGAAAACCACTGAGTCTGGTTCCAAAAATTGCTGCTGTGTGTTCTCACTATTGATGTTGTTCAGTCATCCTCTGTGCTGTCCCGTATCCATAAGATTCGTAACCACTTGGACTTTTCCCAGCTACTCTGTCATTTCTGTATCATCTGGTTAAGTACAAAATCCCCTTTAAAAAGTATAGTGACAGTGAGTAAAGCAGCCTTTGAACGCTTATCTTAGGCCAGGCACAAACAGTTTAAATGTGATTTTTTTTTTTTTTTTAATTTTAAACACAGGGTCTTACTATTTATATATAGCTCTGGCTGGCATGGAACAAACCATGTACACCAGGCTGACTTCAGACTCACAGAGATCCACCTGCCTCTGCTTCTCAACACTTGGGATTAAAGGCATGCACTACAATGCCCAGCCTTTACATGTAATGTTTGTGTAATAGATCACAACTTAATTATTTGTGTAATATACTATAATTTATATTTAAATGTTATTCTGTATTAATAACTTGAATCCATTCTCCATTCTGGCCCATTTCTGTCCAGGAACATAGGTTGTCTTTTTGTTCAGAATTCTTTAATCTAGAACTTCCCCCATATTTCTTGGTTTTCATAATTTGAAGGAACACAAACTTTATTCTGCAGGAAGGACAACTTCAGTTTGGGTTTTTTCTCACATTAGTAGGCCCAATCTTGGAAGAAAGGATGCTCTTCTTCCCAGTGCATCACATGTGCCATCCCTGGGAATGGAATGTAGACTAGGAGTATACCAGCACCTATTAATCAGACCTCCGACTGGTCAGCTTGGCATCTGTTAATGGTATTCTGCATTACCTGTGTCATTGTGGCCAAAGGATGAGCCTTTGATTCAGTTACATTTATTAATACCGTATTGAATGAATGAGCACTTTTTTTTCCTGCATCTTAAATTTGTTCATTCATACATGTAAATAAATACGGAGGCATAGATTCCAGAGTATGCATTTGACTAGATACCCCATGTTGTGGAGATCAGAGGATAACTTTCAAGAATTGGTTTAGCCATTCCACTGTGAGATCTGGAGATTGAATTAGGTTGTCAGGGATAAAGAGCTTTTATCTGCTAAG